AGCGGGACCTGGACAGGCTGGAGAGTTGGGCAGAGAGGAACATGATGAAATTCAACAAGGGCAAGTGCCGAGTGCTGCACCTGGGGAGGTCGAACCCCATGCACCAGTACAGGCTGGGGGCTGACCTGCTGGGAAGCAGCTCTGCCAAGAGGGACCTGGGAGTCCTGGTGGATGACAAGCTGACCATGAGCCAGCAATGTGCCCTTGTTGCCAAGAAGGCCAATGGCATTCTGGGGTGCATCAAGAGGAGTGTGGCCAGCAGGTCGAGGGAGGTTATCCTCCCCTTCTACTCTGCCCTGGTGAGACCCCACCTGGAGTACTGTGTCCAGTTCTGGGCTCCCTGGTTCAAGAAAGATGAGGAACTCCTAGAAAGAGTCCAGAGGAGAGCAACTAGGATGATTAAGGGACTGGAGCATCTCCCGTACGAGGAAAGGCTGAGAGAGTTGGGCTTGTTCAGCCTGAAGAAGACAGAGGGGACCTCATCAATACATAGAAATATCTTAAGGGTGGAAGTCAAGAGGACAGAGCCAGACTCTTTGCAGTGGTGTCCAGCGACAGGACAAGGGGCAATGGGTACAAACTGAGCCATAAGAGGTTTTAGTTGAATATCAGGAAAAACTTCTTTACTCTGAGGGTGACGGAGCACTGGAACAGGCTGCCCAGGGGGGTTGTGGAGTCTCCTTCTCTGGAGATATTCAAAGCCCGCCTGGACAAAGTCCTGTGTAACATGCTCTAGGAGAACCTGCTTTAGCAGGTGGGTTGGACTAGATGATCTCCCGAGGTCCCTTCCAACCCTTGAGATTCTGTGATATCAATACAAGAAATGTAAAGATATGTGTAACTATGTATAGCTACAAAACAAACAAGCCTTTGCTAGGAACCTTGAAAATAACACCAATAAATGTGTGACATAATTGCTCTGTTCTATTTACAGAGGGCACCATTACAATAAATTTTGAGCATTTGGTGACACAACTCAGGGAAGATAATCATAAGGTTATACAGACTACAACTCCCCTGCAGACAAACAGTAAACCCTTTCTGTGACTGCCAAATTAACAGGTTGTTGTTTAAAAAATAAAAAACAGCAGAGTTAACTAATGCCTAATACAGCTCCTCTAAAACTTTCAATATTTGATTTGTTAGTAGAAGAGCCTCGTCAGCAGACTCTGCGTAGCTGAGGCATAAGAAAATCATCTCCCTTTGTTCATTATCACTTGTAGCCTTGCTTTTCATCAAATCATTACCAAATGCCCTGAATTTCATAGTCCTTTCATTTGATACAGACTGTGTTTGTTATGTGCCTATAGAGAAAAATAAGATTTAAAGAATCTCTATTATCCTGAGCAGATGAGAACAAAAGTATTGTGCAGCAAAGACTTGCACATGCAGACAGAGGGTTCAGTGTTACTAATTAGGATTTTTAAATGCATAGCCTTCTATTATCTCCTTGTAACTTTATAAGCAGTACAAGTTGAGCAGGTTATGGATTTTCATTTATCTGGAGAAACTGAAAACAAATCAAGGAGCTTAACTTTTTAAGTACAGCAAGACCATTTTCAACTTTTTAGGACTAAAAAGGAAAAAAAAAACAACACCACAACCACCCACCCACCCCACCCCCCGCCACAGTTATACTGTAGTCAAAATGTTTTTAAAAAGTGTCCAACTGTTATGGAACAATAAATTCCATGTTGCCTGAATGCCTCTTCAAACAGCACAAATGCCTCAATGGAGGGGAAAAAAAAAAAGGCAAAGAAAGGAAAGGGGTCTTTGTGTATGTGTCACCTCAGTGACTGTCGAACTTAATTGATTTTGGTTGTACTTCTAGCTTCCATTCCATGACATTACACAGACAACAACATTCAATGACAAAGGACTAAATTGAGTTTGAAAAACTGGTAGGATGCTGCTGGAATGTGGGACCTTCCTTTAAATTGTTCCCTTTGACAAGTGGCTTTTGTCTTATTACCATGCCATTTGGAAAGTGCACAAGGTCATCTGAACCAGGCCAAAAATTAATAAAATAAGCAAATGTGGGCATGTCCAGAGACTCCAAACAACAGTGTGGCAACATCATTACAAGACAGGAGGGAAAAAA